TCACATGCAAAGATGAAGGATGGTCTTCATGGCCCATTCAAGTCTCTGCGGATGCTTCACTGCGCCATGGAGGCATCTGAGAGCAGATGATTACAGAGAAAAGAGAAGGTGACCGTTGAGTTGAATGAAGATTCCTCTTGCCTCATGTTTATGACACCTTGAGATGGCTGTTAAGATGGAGTCAAGCAAAGCTCCCTGAGCGTAGCTATAGATCTTTCCTTCTTACCCCTTCCTCTTGCTCCTGCCTCAGCCTGCAGCCCCCGCCCAGTATTGGAGTACCAGGCCGTGCAACACACAAAGGCATTTATATCGACTCCATGAATAATCAATACTGTAATCACTTTCTGCAGCGCTCTCTAGCCCTGGATTTTGTTGTGCTATATCAATGGTTCTCAACCTGTGGGTCGCGACCCACAGGAACTATATTAAAGGGCTGTGGCATTAGGAAGGTTGAGAACCACTGCTCTGTATCATCTGCTGCCAACAAATTGCTTCCACGGGTCAGGATGAGAAGTCTAAGGTTCCTTTAGCTCAGTGGTTCTCATTCTTGGCTGCACTTCGAAATCATCAGAAGCTATACAAAAAAATACCAATGCTTAGGCCCCAACCCCAGGAATTTTGATATAATTGATCTGGGGTGGGGCCTGGGCTTTGGGCTTTTTAGAAGCTTCTCTAGCATTTCTACTGTGCAGCCAGGACTGAGACTCACTGCTTGGGTTCCTGCTGTACTCAGGTGGAACAGGTGGCTTTCTGCAATCTCCATGGGGAATAAGATTTCTGGCTCCAACAGAGAACACAGCTGGGACCAGGGCCCACAATGTGATAAGGACGTTTGTTTCTGGGTCTCTTTATCTTAGGGCCCTGCCCTCCTGTGGCTGGTCTGGTAAATGAATCTCAACAGCAGCGTAAATGGACGATAATAGCTTAATGTATTGCCTTCCCAGCCAGCAGGGCCCTTCAGGGCCTTAACACAAAGGAATTCCTTATTGTACTCACTGCGGGGTGGAGGGGTGTGGTTTGAAGTAGTCCCACCCAAACCTGCTTTGCTCCCTAGTCCTTCTTCTCATCTCAGTAAATGGCATTTCCAGAGGTTGACCTCTCTTCTTCTCTCACCCCCAATATCCAATCCATCTGCATGTCAGCTTGATTTAGTTTTCAAAATACATCCAAGTTTTCAACCTGAGAGAGATGATTGAAAAAAAAAAAAACAAAAATATATTCATATGCAGGATTCACTCACTTTTCATCTTCTCCGTTACTACCATCCTAGCCCAAGCCTCCATCAGATTTTAACTGTACTTCTGCAGTTACAAACATTGCAGTTAGACGCTTCTAACTGGTCCCTCTACTTTTGCCATTGTGCTACTGTACTCTTGTTTCCTACAGAGCAACCAGAGTTATCATTTTAAAATACATAACAGCCTGGCATGGTGCTCACACCTGTAATCCTAGCATTTTGGGAGGTCGAGGCAGGTGAGTCACTTGAGCTCAGGAGTTCAAGACCAGCCTGAGCAAGAGCAAGACCCTGTCTCTACTGAAAATAGAAAAACCAGCCGGGTGTGGTGGCAGATGCCTAGAGTCCCAGCTACTTGAGAGGCTGAGGCAAGAGTAAGATGCCTCAAGCCCAGGAGTTTGAGGTTGCTGTGAGCAATGATGTCATGGCACTCTACCCTGGATGATGGAGTGAAACTCTGTCTCAAAAAAATAAAATAAATAAGGCCAGGTGCAGTGGCTCACACCTGTAATCCTAGCGCTCTGGGAGACCAAGGCAGGTGGATTGCCTTAGCTCACAGGTTTGAGACCAGGCTGAGCAAGAGCAAGACCCCATCTCTAAAACTAGCCAGGTGTTGTGGCAGGTGTCTCTAGTCCCAGCTACTTAGGAGGCTGAGGGAAGAGAATCACTTAAGCCCAAGAGTTTGAGGTTTCTGTGAGCTGTGATGCCACAGCTACCAAGGGCAACAAAGTGAGACTCTGTCTCAAAAAAATAAATGAATGAATGAATAAAATAAGATAAAATAAATGCATACCAGACCCTGTCTGATCAAAACCCTCCAGTGAGGCTCAGTGCCTATAGCTCAATGGCTAGGGCGCCAGCCATATACACCAGAGCTAGTGGGTTCAAATCCAGCCCACGCCTGCCAAACAACGACAGCTACAACCAAAAGATAAAAATAGCCAGACATTGTGGTGGGCGCCTGTAGTCCCAGCTACTTGGGAGGCTGAGGCAAGAGAATTGCTTAAGCCCAAGAGTTTGAGGTTGCT